TATTTAGTAAATCTGACCCTTAATCTGAAGTATTAGAACTTTCCTTACTTCCTTCCTTCTGAACTTCCGAACTTACTTCCGAACTTACTTCCTTCTGAACTTACCTCTTTCGGAACTTCCTTCCAAACTTCCTTCCTTCCGAACTTTCTTTCCGGAATTCCTTCCTTCCGAACCTCCTTCTGAACTTCCTTCCGAACTTACTGCTGAACTGACTTCCTTCTGAACTTACCGAACTCAATTTTACTGTTTTTAACTGTTTGTATTGTTATTTTTTATTTAAATATCTGTACTGTGTTGTCTCTATGGACCTTTGTGTCTGGAATAAAGTTGATTGATTACCTCCTTCCTTCCTTCCTTCCTTCCTTCCTTCCTTCCTTCCTTCCTTCCTTCCTTCCTTCCTTCCTTCCTCCCTTCCTTCCTTCCTTCCTTCCCTTCCTTCCTTCCTTCCTTCCTCCTTCCCTCCCTTCCTCCCTCCCTCCCTCCCTCCTTCCTTCCCTCCCTCCCTCCCTCCTTCCTTCCCTCCCTCCCCTCCCTCCCTCCTTCCTTCCCTTCCTTCCTTCCCTTCCTTCCTTCCTTCCTTCCTTCCTTCCCTCCTTCCCCCCTCCCTCCCTCCTTCCTTCCCTCCCTCCCTCCCTCCTTCCTTCCTTCCTTCCTTCCTTCCTCCCTTCCCTTCCTTCCTTCCTTCCTTCCCTCCTTTCCCTCCCTCCCTCCCTCCTTCCTTCCCTCCCTCCCTCCCTCCTTCCTTCCCTCCCTCCCTCCCTCCCCCCTCCCTCCTTCCTTCCCTTCCTCCTTCCCTCCCTTCCTTCCTTCCTTCCCTCCTTCCCTCCCTCCCCTCCCTCCCTCCCTCCCTCCCTCCTTCCTTCCCTCCCTCCCTCCCTCCCTCCCTCCCTCCCCTCCTTCCCTTCCTTCCCTCCCTCCTTCCTTCCCCTCCTTCCTTCCTTCCTCCCTTCCTTTCCTTCCTTCCTTCCTTCCTTCCTTCCTTCCTCCTTCCTTCCTTCCTTCCTTCCTTCCTTCCTTCCCTTCCTTCCTCCCTCCTTCCCTCCCTCCCTCCCTCCCTCCCTCCCTCCTTCCTTCCCTCCCTCCCTCCCTCCTTCCTTCCTCCCTCCCTCCCTTCCCTCCTTCCCTTCCCTCCCTCCCTCCCTCCTTCCTTCCTTCCCTTCCTTCCTCCTTCCCTCCCTCCCTCCCTCCTTCCTTCCCTCCCTCCCTCCCTCCTTCCTTCCTTCCTCCTTCCTCCTTCCCTCCCTCCCTTCCCTCCCTCCTCCCTCCCTCCCTCCTTCCCTCCCCTCCCTCCCTCCCTCCCTCCTTCCCTCCCTCCCTCCTTCCCTCCCTCCCTCCCTCCCTCCCTCCCTCCCTCCCTGCCTCCCTCCCTCCTTTCCCTCCCTCCCTCCCTCCCTCCCTCCTCCTTCCTTCCCTCCCTCCCTCCCTCCCTCCCTCCCTCCTTCCTTCCCTCCCTCCCTCCCTCCCTCCCTCCTTTCCCTCCCTCCCTCCCTCCCTCCCTCCCTCCCTTCCCTCCCTCCCTCCCTCCCTCCCTCCCTCCCTCCCTCCTCCTTCCCTCCCTCCCTCCCTCCCTCCCTCCCTCCCTCCTTCCTTCCCTCCCTCCCTCCCTCCCTCCCTCCCTCCCTCCCTCCCTCCCTCCCTCCCTCCCTCCCTCCCTCCTTCCTTCCTCCCTCCCTCCCTCCCTCCCTCCTCCTTCCTTCCCTCCCTCCCTCCCTCCCTCCCTCCCTCCCTCCCTCCCTCCCTCCCTCCCTCCTTCCCTCCCCTCCCTCCTTCCCTCCCTCCCTCCCTCCTTCCTTCCCTTCCTTCCTTCCTTCCCTCCCTCCTTCCTTCCTTCCTTCCCTCCTTCCCTCCTTCCCTTCCTTCCGGTCTTGGGGGAGTTGTGAAATGTCTAATTAATGTCCTTGAACACAACATCTCAATTCATGGTAAACAAATTCTTCGAAAGTAAGTGCCCTTGAGGAAAAATAAAAAAAGCCCTCCGCTCTGAAAATAATAATGCTTTTATCTCTTACACTCTTGAAGTGCAGGATTAAAACAGGCCACAGGCTTGGCTCAGGCATATCTGATTGCATCAAAACACATGGGTATTTCTTTTCTGTCTTTTTTCATTTAATGTAAGCAGTCCTTGTGAATATGCTGAGCATGTGATATTTTTTTTTTAGCTAAAGCTAAGTGTATTGATGACTTGTTAATGTGAAGCGCCACTGTGAATCGAGCACTGTGATCTGTCAGGTTTTGATGAGTTTCAGGCAGACATTTGAACAGGTCATAACCTACCCTTAACACACACACACACCACACCACTGTGTATCAGTATGACAGCCTGAGTGTGAATGAACCCAAAAGGTTGGTACACTGTTAAACCCTAATGAACAGCTGTCAGGTGACAGTGAATGCTTATCGGTGACACCCAGCTATTGCCTGTTTAACACACCATTTTGAATCCAATGGCCACATAATTGAGTGTACAGACAGACTCATTCACTGTGGTGAGTAGTGTCAATTAAAATGCCTCTCATAAAGTTTCAGAGTTCAGAAGTGATCAAAATAAGTTTCTGAACAAATCATGCTTCGAATTGCTTTTCCAACCAGTCTCTTAATAGGACTCACCCCATCAACATCATGGCAGCACACTCACATACACCAAATGACAAAAGTAATTCTGCCTACAGAAGAGTATTGCCTATCTGCCACACATCGAAATGTCAAGCCTTTACCTATGGTTGACACCCAATTTGACCACACAGTTTTTTTTTTTTCGTACTTTCTTAGACAGCAGCGGATAACCTGAAGAGATATTCTCATTTCTACATGTGAAAGCACCTTGACACCTGCTTTGTGTGGCTCTAAGTGGTCACTGATTGTTCCCTTGACATCTTGTCCCTACAACTTTAATGGGATGTCTAGCACGTACAAGATTAGTGAAACCATTACCCCTTCCTCCAACATTCCCCTGGTCCTGACACTAGCTTTAGTGGCGCTGCCTCCACAAATATCAGCCTTTAAAAGTCTGGAGATCACTTAGAGTCACTCCTGCCAATGGCAGAACTGTCAGGTATTTCAGCTGGAACGCTGGACATGATTGTAGAGGAAGAAAGAAAGAAACATCAGGTCACAATCGTTCTCCAAATCAGTTGTTCTTGTTTCGACGTATCCTTAAGGATTATCACGAATCTCATTCCCATTTCTGGTTTAGTATACGATAAGAGGGAACACGGCACACTGATGGTAAACAGTTAAATGTCACAATTAGCATACAGTATGTGCCATTTTTCACACTACATTAAATAAGGCAGATCGTTCAGTAAACTAGCGAGCTACATTTACAATGCAAATAATTATTTATTATTGTAGATATAGCCCTTTTTTACAACGTTTGCAATGGGAACGTTGCTAAAAACAAGCATGCTATTTTGTTTTATATTAATACCAGGATAATATAGCCGCATTGTGATATTAATACACATGTTGTATATACACTGGTTGGGGTCATACTATTTTTTTAATATTCTCTCATGCTCCACCAAAGCTGTGTTTTTGATCAAAAATACCTTAACAATAATATTGCGAAATATTACTACAATTTAAAACACTGTTAAAATGTAATGTATTCCTCTGATATATTCAGTGTCACATGATCCTTCAGAAATCATTCTAATGTGATGATTTGCAGCGCAAGAAATGTTTTATTATTATTATCATCCTCTTGAAAACAGTTGTGCTGAATATGTTTGTGGTTTGTCATTGTAATTAGTCAACTTTAGAGAAGTAACTATTTTATTATCATTCCTCATTAATGCCAAACTATTGCCAACTGATGGCTTTTTAGTCGGGCTGTCAAGCGATTAATCGCATCCAGAATAAAAGTTTGTGTTTACATATTATATGTGGGTGCACTGTGTATAATTGCTTTGTATATATAAATACACACACATGCATGTATATTTAAGAAAATAATATTTTATATATATAAAATAGCATATATATATATATATATATATATATATATATATATATATATATATGAAGAGTTCAGATGCAAAAGCCTCTAAATGCCATTTGAAATTTTCTTGTTTAATGATGATTTTTATCAAACTTGTATATTTAAGTTCAGTAATTTCACTTAAATGGCAATGATAATTACCTATTAATTGTTATTTAAGTGAAATTACTGAACTTAAATATACAAGTTTGATAAAAATCATCATTAAACAAGAAAATTTCAAATGGCATTTAGAGGCTTTTGCATCTGAACTCTTCATATATATATATATATATATAATATTTATATATAATATAAATTATATGTAAATCTATATACAGTATATACATGAAAATATTTCTTAAATATACAAGCATGTGTGTGTGTATATGTATATATATATATATATATATATATATATATATATATAAAATAATTATACACAGTGCACCCGCATATATTATGTAAACACAAACTTTTATTTTGGATGCGATTAATCGTTTGACAGCCCGACTTTTTTAGCATTCGAGTAAGGAAAGGAAAATGTCTCTCTCTCTCTCTCTCTCTCTCTTTACATAAATGTGTAGACACGCTGATGCAGATGAATCAGAAGAGGTTGACTGAGGTCTGTTAAGCAGCGACATCATTGGTTGGGATCAACACTTGGAATGATTCCATTTAGCAAACATTGGCAAATGCAAAGGTTGGCAGCTTATAGCATAGAGTCCAGCCCAGAGCTCCACTAAGACGGATGAGGGGTCAGAACTGCAGAGAGACCTTTTGCAGTCCATACAGACGACTGCCATTTGACTAGAACAGGACTTGTGAGGTTTCTCGCTCCTCTTGGCATGCATACATTGCGAAGATGGCATGACAATTAATAATGCAGGTCGGCGAGGGTTAATAATTTCTCCTCTCAAAGGAACCAGGTGCAAGCCCGAGGCTACTGTTACGAACCCTGTTGTTAAGAATGCTCGTTTTGTAAGGGTTCAATAACATAAAAGGAGACGCAAGGCAAAAAGCAGTTTAAAACATTTATTTATACTAATAAATGACTGCACAATCTCACGTCTCTCATGTTCTCACTCTTCCCACAGAAAACTCACATTTTCTCTACACTAGACATACCAAACACTAACAAAATAAAACAGAATAGTGGCACAATACAAAGAACACAGGCTTGAGTTGAAGCTGATCGAATGTTTAGATGGTCATGACGCGCACGGAGTTTCACCGCTGCGTGTCTCACACTCCTGCACACACCGCTTATATGCTCAGCACGAGCCATCAGAGCAACGAACCACAGGTGCGCAAGGGAGGAGCCTACACTTAAGAAGAGACATTAATTAGATTACAAGACAAACATACACACACAAATACATAGGCAACACCCATAAGGCTGAGGCCGTAACACTTCTCCCCCTAAAGGAAGAATCAGACTTTTTTTTTTCCTCTTCTTTCCCTCCTTAGAAGGGGAAAAGAAAACTGATTCTGCATAGAACCAGAGCTTAACTCAATCCACGAGACAACGCATCTGCTACCACGTTATCAGATCCTTTTTTATGACGGATCTCTAAATGATACGGCTGGACCATTAAAGCCCAACGCATCAATCGTTGATTATGGTTGTACATTTTACCCAGAAAAACCAGCGGATTGTGATCCGTATAAACAACGATCGGAGAAGAACTAGACCCCACATAAACATTAAAATGTTGTAAGGCTAACAACATAGCTAAAGTTTCTTTTTCAATCGTTGAATAATTCAACTGATGACTGTTAAACTTAGCTGAAAAGTACGATACGGGGTGGCCTATTTCATCAGCACCCTCCTGCAGCAAGACAGCTCCCACTCCAACCGCACTAGCGTCGACCTCAAGCTGGAATGGACGAGTCACATCTGGAGCAGACAGCACAGGTGCACTACAAAGAAGAGATTTAGCAGAAAGAAATGCCTGCTGGCACTCATTAGTCCAGTCAAAACAAACTTTAGGACTACACAACTTCGTTAAAGGAGCAACCACACTCGAGAAATTTTTGCAAAAACACCGGTAGTACCCAACCATCCCCAGGAATCTACGTAGTTCTCTCCTCGTAGTAGGCACTGGGTAACTGAGGACAGCAGTCACTTTTCCGTCCAATGGCCGTACCTTACCGTTTCCCACCTGCTTCCCTAAATAAGTGACAGAAGCCTTAGCAAATTCACATTTTTTTAGGTTTAACGTTAAGGAAGCAGCCTCTAACCGACGAAACACGTCATGCAAGGTCAACATGTGTTCAGCCCATGTAGTCGAATAAATAACTACATCGTCTAAATAGATGTTACAGTTAGGAACGTCACCTAAGACTGTGGACATTAAACGTTGAAACGTTGCTGGTGCGTTTCTCAGACCGAATGCCATGCGTTTATACTGCAGAAAAGAATCGGGGGTTACGAAGGCGGAGATCTTAGAAGCGCGCTCGGTTAACGGCACCTGCCAATAACCTTTCAAAAGGTCTAACTTCGTAATATATTTCGCACCCCCAAGACAATCAATGCAATCTTCCATCCGCGGTAACGGAAAAGCATCAGCCACTGTGATGGAATTTACCTTTCTAAAATCAGTGCAGAAACGTAAAGACCCATCAGCCTTCGGTACCAGAACACACGGTGAGCTCCATGGACTATTACTCGGGACAGCGAAACCATTCTGCAATAAGTACTTAACCTCACTTTTCATGGCTTCTCTCAGACTCATTGGGCAACGATAAGCGTGTTGCTTGATCGGTAATGCGCTACCGACCTCAATGTCATGCTGAATGACATTAGTACCCGGAGGAACGTCATTGAACAAACACGGGAAACTGTCTATCAACTTCATTACGTCCTCTCGCTGTTCAGGCGATAGATAGGATAGTTGCTCAGGAAGCAAAGATAAAATCTTAGAGTTTTCAAAACATCCTCCTCCTAAAGCTTCCATGGATACATTCAACCCATCGTCCGCAGTATCGGCAGGCAAAGCATAAGCCAACAATGAAACGCGCTCAGTATTTCCTTTAGTCACCGATTCACTAACCAAATTCTCAGGGTTCTCTTTTGGTTCGACACAAAAATATGGTTTCAACATGTTTATGTGACATAAACGAGTTTTTCGCCTCCGTTCTGGCGTGTGTAAGATATAATCAGTTTCATTCCACTTACTTTTTATCACGTAAGGACCAGAGAAACGCGCAGAGAGAGAAGATCCAGGAATAGGAAGCAACACCAAAACTTTTTCACCTGGCAAAAAATTACGCATAACTGCTTTCCTATCAAAATGTTTTTTCATTTTCGTTTGTGACAGAGAAAGTGCTTCCTTCGCCACAGCACAAGCATTGTGCAAACGTTCGCGAGTACGTGATACAAAATCAAGGACGTTGGTCTTCACAGACGAACTGTTACCGAGAAATTCTTCCTTTAACATTTTCAAAGGACCACGGACATTATGTCCAAACACAAGCTCTGACGGGCTAAACCCAAGCGAGTCCTGCCGCGCCTCACGTACCGCGAATAACACCAAAGGAACTCCATCATCCCACTCATTCCCAGTCTCTGTACAGTACTTTCTCAGTGCAGATTTTAATGTTTGGTGCCACCTCTCTAAAGCACCTTGCGACTCGGGATGATAGGCGCTTGATACTACGTGAGAAACGCCAAGAGCCTTTAACGAGGCACGGAAGATACGAGACACAAAATTCGAACCCTGATCAGTTTGGACAGTTTTCGGCAAACCGAATGTTGTAAAGAATTTAGTTAAGGCTTTAGTTACTGTCTTAGCCGTTATGTTGCGTAACGGAATGGCTTCTGGAAACCGGGTAGCCGCGCACATGATTGTCAACAAATATTGACAACCAGACTTAGCCCGAGGAAATGGACCCACACAGTCAACTAGAACGCGCTCGAATGGTTCTCCAACGGCAGGAATAGGACACAGAGGAGCAGGTGGTACAATCTGATTAGGTTTTCCACTAACCTGACAAATGTAACACGTCTTACAGTGTGTCACAACATCAGACTTTAACCCTGGCCAGAAAAAATGCTGGAGCACCCGGTTATAGGTCTTAGTTATCCCTAGGTGTCCAGACCAAGGATGGTCATGAGCCAGACTTAAAACATGTGATCGAAATTTCGAAGGTACCACAATTTGATGCACCGCATTCCAATCGTCTCGCTGCTCAGAATTTAAAGATCTACTCCATTTACGCATGAGCACATCATCGTTCCAGTAGAACTGGTGATTACGCAGCGACTTTTTGTCATTTTCAACACTCGCACGACATTTTTCTAATGATAAATCATTTCGCTGAGCTTCGATCAGAATTTCACGCGAGATGGGCAAATCAGAGATCAAACTAAGATCAAAGCCATCAGATGCCTTTAAAGTCGTTTTAGTCGAGTCAGGAGAGTCGGGAAGAACATCAGTTTTCAAAATCTGTGAAAAGACAGAATCACAAAGAGTATTACTTTCGTGAATGTCCTGTTTCGCCTGTGCTCGCGTTACAACAGCACTAAACACATTCGGCAAATTTTTACCAAGTGCATCAGCCTGCGAATCATTGCATGGGACATCAACAACTTGTACTACCGGCATTACCTTACCTCCAGCTATGTCATTTCCCATGATAAAATCCACACCTTTCACCGGTAAAGAAGGACGAACTGCAACCTCAAAGCACCCAGATGCCAAATCAGAAAAAACATATACTCGATGGAGAGGAACAGGCACAAAACCCATTTCAATACCCTGCACAATCGCACTGGTATTACATGCCGAATCAGCACAAAAACCCAGAATATCTGATAATATAAAGGACTGAGATCCTCCTGTGTCACGGAGAATTCTTACAGGTTTTCGGCTTTCGACCTTCTCATTTAACGAAACAAATCCATCGAATACGAAAGGCTGAAAACAGCTGTCAGGTGTCACAAGAGAACTGACGGATGATGGGGACACAGTTTTCACTAGTACTGAACCTCGAGGCTGGAAAGATGAATAATCTTGTCGCTCTTGTTTGCGTTTTAAAGTACGACACTCAGCTATAACATGTCCCGTCTTGTGACAATAACTGCACTCTCGATTAAACTTCGGACTGGTTGGAACCCATTTATTTCGTGAGTCGGAAAGATTTTCATTTTCCTTTAATGAGGAACCCCCACAGTCAGACGGACGCTTTGAAAACACAGTTTTATGCATTAATGCGTACTCGTCAGCTAACACGGCAGCCTGTTGTACAGTGCTGACTTTCTGTTCATTTAAATACAACGCAGTACGTTCGGGAACACAGTTCTTAAATTCTTCAATCAGCAAAAGTTCTCGCAAAGAATTATAGTCAGTTACCCTGCACGCCTTGATCCACCGATCAAATAAAATGCCCTTTTCGCGAGCGAACTCGACATACGTTTGAGACATGCCTTTGTTCGTAGTGCGAAATCGTTGTCGATAGTGCTCAGGAACTAATTCATACGCTCGTAATATTGCAGTTTTCACGGCATCGTACTGTACGCTTTCATCTACCGAGAGAGATGCACACACCTCTTGTGCCTTACCTGAGAGTTTACATTGTAACATTAGTGCCCAAACCTCGTTTGGCCATCTTAAGGCAACAGCAATTCGTTCAAAAGCTTGAAAATATGCCTCAACTTCCCTCTCACGGAAGGGTGGAACAATAGATATATTTTTAGCCACATCAAAATGTGTCGAAAACGGCGCTACAGACTCAGATCCCACATCAGACGGCACAGAATTAACACCCGAAGTGGATGGACCAGCAGATGTCTCAGAATTAACCTCCAACCGAGATGTTTTGACGATAGATTTTTTAGGTACCGCTGAAGCAGCCTGCAACTCCAACTCCCGCAATCGCACCTTCATATCAGCGTCAATTCGGTACATTTCAATCTGATGCTTCAAATCATCTTGTCTCGCCTGAGCTTTATCCTGAGTTTCTAACTGTAACCGTGCTAAACGTAGCTTTAAACGGGAATCTGTACGCAAACCTGATGATTCTGCGGACAGCGACAAAGGTTCAAATTTAGGTAGTGAAAAAGACGGACGTACCTCCGCACCAACCCCGATCACTGGAGTAACTGGAACACCACTCGTTACACGTAAGGGCGGACTTCCTGCAGCTGGTATCGCCAACTCCGCTGCTGCAGTAGGAACAGCCTCAATAGAAGAAAATACCCCTTTATTAATCAGACTAGTCACTAAACAAGCTTTCAACTCTTCCTTACGAAGTGTTCTAGAGATAGAAATCTCATAATGTTGAGCAATAAGAAACAAATCATTTTTTCGACATGTCTCTAAAGCTTCAACACTAGGTTGATCTAAAAATTGACTAAGCTCAAACGTTGCCATCTTTATAAAAAAAAAACGAAAAGAAAAACACGCAAAAGCAATCAGGATAATCCAACACCCTCTGGACCTACCTACCTAGCCATTAATCTAAATAATACCCTACCTAGTCTTCAGAGGGTACCGATTAAGAGATCGCTCTCTCCCCCGGAATACCTCCAAAAACAACAAACTAAAATAATAAAGCAAAACAATAAACAGTAAACCGTCGTCAGAACTGGCGCTAAGCACAGCCCTGCTGGCTTACTCTAACTAACCAGAGGATATTGGTCACCTGAATTAAATTAGATCAATCAAATTGCCACTACTCAAACACATATCTTGGACGAGCCCCCAATTATGTTACGAACCCTGTTGTTAAGAATGCTCGTTTTGTAAGGGTTCAATAACATAAAAGGAGACGCAAGGCAAAAAGCAGTTTAAAACATTTATTTATACTAATAAATGACTGCACAATCTCACGTCTCTCATGTTCTCACATTTTCTCTACACTAGACATACCAAACACTAACAAAATAAAACAGAATAGTGGCACAATACAAAGAACACAGGCTTGAGTTGAAGCTGATCGAATGTTTAGATGGTCATGACGCGCACGGAGTTTCACCGCTGCGTGTCTCACACTCCTGCACACACCGCTTATATGCTCAGCACGAGCCATCAGAGCAACGAACCACAGGTGCGCAAGGGAGGAGCCTACACTTAAGAAGAGACATTAATTAGATTACAAGACAAACATACACACACAAATACATAGGCAACACCCATAAGGCTGAGGCCGTAACACTACTGTAAAAGCGAGCACGTCGACTCCACTGAGAATAAATAGCCAGTACCGCCACTTCCATAAGCACATATGTGCTAAACAGGGATGTTTGATTCCCTATTCACACTGAATTAAAGCCTTGTGAGAAAACATTGCACCTGAGTCCGATTCATTCCCCACGGGAAGCTGAAGATCGGCATGCTAATGTAGTTCGGCTCCCGCATGCTACTGTACGTGACAATAAACAAAGTCATTCGAAACCTGATTCCCAAATACACAAATAATTGCTCTTATTGTCTTTTACGTAATCAAAACATATTATTCCTGACCACAAAGGTCTTAAGTTTTTATCTGTCATTTAATATAACATCTAACCATCCGCTGAAAAGGTTTGATTAAGGAAGTGACACATTTCGTTCTCGGATCTGACCCCAGCTTTTCACATAACGCTTACCTCGTTAATGAGGCGCCACACGACACGAGGAGACACAAAACACTTCATTATGGGCTGCGGTGAATCATTTTTACTGCTCGTGTTCATGTGGGCTTGCAGTCTGAGAACACCTTATCACTTTTATTTAATCCAAATTGATGTAAAAGGATTGAATGCTACTTGATATTGTGCATCTTTGAAATGCAATTATGGCCCCGATGGACCAATAATAGTCTAGTCGGGGTAACATCAGCACTTATGATTATGAACTGATTTTAATATCACTCTTTCTGTTCCCTAGTGTGAAAGAAGAGAGCGAGAAAGAGGGAAAAAAACGTTTGGGCTTGTTTTGTAACTGATTAAAACTTGAGTTTCCACATGTTTTTGAAAGAAGTCTCAGTCACGCTTTAGATAAGAGTCCAATTCTCCCTATTTACTAACTATTAACTGCAACGTTTGCCTCAGTAAACTCCTAATTACTGCTTATTAATAGTTAGCTGTAAGGTAGTTGTTAAGTTTGGGTGTGATTTTTAAAGGGGTAGTTCACTTTAAAAAAAAAACTTTTGCTGATAATTTACTCACCACCATGTCATCCAAGTCAAGATGTCCATAACTTTCTTTCTTCAGTCGAAAAGAAATTAAGGTTTTTGATGAAAACATTCCAGGATTTTTCTCCATATAATGGACTTCAATGGGAACCAAACGGTTCAAGGTCCAAAAGACAGTTTCAGTGCAAACTGTAAACTGTTCAAAGGGCTTTAAACAATTATAGACGATGAATAAGGGTTTTATCAAGCGAAACAACATTAAAAAAAAAACAAAAAAAACCAAACAAACAAACAAACGAAGTTTTCTAAGCTCAAATGCTCACCTTGCTCTGTTCTGTGATGCACGTTTGTGACTCTCCTATTCGAACTCGTTCATCAAAATGAACGAATATTGTATTCATGTAATAATTTACAGTATTATTCCTGTAAATTAAAATATGGTACTTTTACTGCAAATGAAAAATACAATACTCGTACTAACTGTAAATATTAAGACAGTATACGATTGTCTCACTGTAATTTAAATTACAGTACTGGTACTGTAAACGCTTTTACAGTAACTTACTGGCATCCAGCTGCCAGTAAGTTACTGTAAAATCTACAGCAACCTTTTTAAAGTGTACATTTATGTACCGTCACTTTTGATAAATGTAATCCTTGCTGAATACATAATAAAAGTAAAAACTTACTGACCCTCAAAACTGTAGTGTATATCTCTCAAACCTTCTAAAACATATTGGCGTCAGAATCTTCTTATTACTTTCTCCATTCAGTAAAAAAAAGCTTGACATTTCATGAGCGGATTCGGTTATGTAGAGGTTCATTTGTCGCCTGATCGTTAAACGTTTTTTCGTCATCTTTAATAACACAAAATGGCAAAAAAGAAAATCAAATTAAATTTCCAAGCAGGCTCATTGAACCAGGGCAGTGCTCCTAAACGCTCCACTGGAGAAAGTGTGTACACCGTGTCCTGAGCTTTTGAAAATTGCCTTTGGAGCACAGAGGCCCTAAACCATCCCACAGCGACACTTTACCCTTCCTCACACTAAACCCAAAAGGTCATTCTTTTGTCTTTGTGGGCTCTGTCAGATTGCTGTCTTTTCTCATATGTGAGAACGCTAAGATGCTGTGAGCCAGTCAATACAGGTATCTGAGGGTAATGGAAAGAGATTGATTTTTAATGTTTCCCTGCCCTTCGGAATGAAACAAAGACTCTTCTCAACATATTGGTAATCCATGTGACATAATTAAAATGCGTACCCAGTGAATTAACTCTTGCCTAACGAGATTACGATTTTAGTCAGTTTAATATTGCAACTACGTCTCGGGTGTTCGGAAATATGAGATGAGGGCAATCATACTTGAAATGTATTTAAATTAAACCCAAATGAAGATTTTCTAGGAAGTCAAACATCACAAGTTGTGATTTGTGGACCTCCTGTGACTTTTCCCTCCGTAATGTTAGTGGAGCAATCTGTCAAGTCTGGTCAGTATGGCATATTGAGTTGTGATTTGTAGGATGAAATTGCAGCATTGCATGCTGGACTGTTTTTGGCTCAGTATGGGGCTGGATGATTTCCAAGCATCGCTCATTCTTTTTTGCTTTTTTTTTTTTTTTTTTTTTGCTGATTGATCACCGCTACAAACACCTTTGAATTGTGAACCTATAGCATTCCAGAGCCTTTTTTCTTTAAATGAAACAGCATTTTTCAGAGCATCAGGTTTAATGTAAAGCTTGCATTTACTGCCATGACAGATTTAAAGCTAATTGTGATCCTGATAAGGAGATTATTTGGAATGGAGACATGGCTTGGAGACACACAGCATTTGGCAGAGCAAAAACAGACAAAGAAACAGGCAATATTGTGTAATTTACTTAATATGAACTTCTTGTTCATTATGCTAGTGTATATGAAGAGTTCAGATGCAAAAGCCTCTAAATGCCATTTGAAATTTTCTTCTAGAATGGTCATTTTTATCAAGCATGTATATTTAAGTTTAGTAATTTCACTTAAATGGCAATTAATAGGTAATCTTCATTGCCCTTTAAGTGAAATTACTGAACTTAAATATACAAGCTTGGTAAAAATGATCATTTTAGAAGAAAATTTCAAATGGCACTTAGAGGCTTTTGCATCTGAACTCTTCATATATTCAATTGCTGATTATTATTATATGTAAAATGGCCTAATGGTTCGCAAACTGACAATTCAAATGACTGCTGTGTACCACAATAACAGGCTTTATTTCATCTTCGATTCTAGCTTTAGGTTTAATGACATATTTGTGTTTTAAACGCAGCCTTTCCAAACTCATTGAAGCCTACTGTGTCATCAGGCTCTTTATTATATAAGATATATACGTCCACCCTAATCCTACGAGGCAAACAAAAATAACAGTGTTCGACAATGTAAAATAGAGTCACAGAGTGCTTGTCAAATATTGCATTTGGAAATACCAGCTAACTGACTCACTGCCTTATATTTAGCAGTGTGCCGAGAGGTACAAAATGTATTCCGGGTATTAAATTGGCCTAATAATAATAATAATAATAAAAAATCCTCCAGATCCTGTGACAACAATACCAGTCTGGCTGTAATACTGGGAGCTAGACACTTCCAGCTGGGCATTATTAATAAGCTTAACATCCGACCAGACAAGACAAGAGAGCAGCTAGAGAGAATCACATTTCTGGAGTTGGAGTCAAACATGTATGGCAAACAACCCCCGTACCTCCCAGGAAGACCTCAATTAATTTGTTATTTTAAACAGGATTTAATAGGCCACACAGGCTAGGGGTGGTACACATTTAGTCACATCTGCATGCCTGAATGAAATGCTCAATAATGCATTATGGATTATATTTCAATTTCAAGATATCAGGCAATTATGAGTCAACTCCAAAGCTCAATCTCAAGTCATTTCCAGGAAAGCAGAACGACGGTGATCTGAATACCAAAACGGAGATGGAAAAGAGTGCACTGGCCGCAGGTTTTCTCCAGATGCTCATTGTGTAGATGAGCTGCAAATGTGAAACGACAAAATACATGAATCGTAAGTTTAAACTCCACAGTAACCGTTGTCCACAGTATGACGAACCCTAATTTTAGCTTTAACCGCACTAATGATTTTGGGCAACTGTGTTTTTCAAAGCATTCTGGCATGTTGCTTTTCTTCACAGTAAGTGCAGTGTAATCTTTCAAGCTCATTTCATGTGTTTCTACTCAAACATATTCACATGTGAATTGGTTTTTGTTGCGTTTGGCATCCCACGCTGTTGTCATCCAGTGGACTAATATAAGCTGTATTGTGTTTGTAAATGGGGCTGAGGTGCCTTTTTCTGTTTATTTCCTCCCTGTGGCATTGAATTCTTTGTGCATGTGTTTGTATGAGCTGTTGCATATTTATTTGGTTCTGTGGAAGGGTTTTATGCAGATGAATAGGCTAGGAAGTGAGGAATTTAGATGGGCAGTTGCGTTGCCAATATTAATTCCATTATTACTGTACCTTTACAGTGTTTGATATGGCCATAGTTATTCCTGCCAATTGCTTGCCGTCACATTTATCTGGCTCAAAGAATGACAGGGTTGATATTCAAGCAAATGGTATGCAAGACACTGACATCCCGGCACACGGCACTAACAGTTCGTTTAAAAGGACTAATGCTTCCCCAGCAATTTTCCATTTAGTGCTTCCCTTTTTATCTCTCTTTTCTGCTCCTTTTTGTTCTCATTCATATTTAATGCAAAACTGACATAACCACGACTTTCAAAGCATGCTGAGAACATATAGAGGACTTTAAATCCCACACAGCCGAACAGGACGTTTCGTGGCAGATGTTTGGTCATAATGCTCGGCAGCTGCAGGATGCATTCATCTCTTTCAGCAACTGAAGTATTGAAAAATTCAATACAGAAGTTACTTATTCTCGA